TCGTGTCACCGGGTCACTCATTTCAACCTTTTATATATGTGTGTGTGTGTGACCTCATATTAAAGGAGGATATCTGTCATTTTTAAAAAGTCTAGATAAAGCCAATTTTCTTAACAGCTTACGTTGAAACCAATTCTAATGATTTTTTTTTTCTTGATTTTACTTGAACATTAATTAATAAAATCATCGAAAACTTTGAGGAAATTGACAATAAAATGAAAAATGACTTTTTCACCACTTTCTGAAAATGACGGATTTCCACCTTTGATATGTAGCCATTGTGATTCTATGTTGAAAAATATTGGACCCAAGTCTTGGCCTTATGAGCCAAGAAAATAAATGTTATTTAATTACAAAAAAAAATTATCCTTTTTTTTGCCTTGGCATATATTTTCAGATTATATACCAATAAAAAGAAATTTATTTTTTATTTTTGTGTGAAAAAAATAAACCTTTACTTATTTAACGTTTCAGAATTATTTTTACATTTTCCAGCATGTATTACTTAATTGCATGTCACATATTTTTACATAGACCAAGAGAGAAAAAGATATTCTCAAAATTTGAAGATTTGCATTTCAAGCTATATAGAAGTTACGAATCAAATTAAATAAAAAATTCTGTCTGTCCTTAGCACACCATCTGCTGCAACTTTTCAATGAGACTACTGAACCCAATGTTTTCAGAGGTGGTATCAAAGTCAGAGGTCACTGGAGGATGATCATTACCACTCATCATGATCCTGAAAACAGCTTATTATGCTAATAAGATTTATAAGAATGATAATATATTCTTTGTAAAAAAAATGAAGTTTTTGTAAATTATCGAAAATCGTAGATAAGACTTTAGGTTGTCTTTTATATCATTTTAAAGGTAATATATTGCTTTTGAAAATGAAATAATAATAATGATAAAAGTGTTAGCGAACCCGAAGGTTCGATGGCGACACCACCAATCCCTTATTACACACCTCCCTCCACCGTTCGCCGTCCAAACCCAGTCCCTTCAGATCGGCTTTAATGCAATCTTCCCATCTTCGCCTCGGTCTACCCCTCGGACGCTTACCATTTGGCATAGCAAATATTAAGCTTTTAGGAATTCTCTCGTTACTAAACCCAACAACTTTACAAGCCCATTTGATTCGCCGCGATGAAATTACCTCAATTATATTACCCGGATACAGTTTACGCAATTCGGCGTTGTTTAACCATCTGAACTCTCCGGTTAACTCATCCTTCTTCGGTCCGAATATTCTACGCAATACTTTATTTTCAAAAACCTTAAGACGCTGCTCATCCCTTAATGTAAGCGGCCAAGTTTCGCATCCATAAAGAACTGTAGGCAAGATAATTGTTTTATAGATTTTAATTTTTAAGTTCCGGGACAAGAGGCGCGAACTAAGTAGTTTTGTCACAGAAAAATAACAAGCATTTCCCGCCTTCAGTCTGACCTTAATCTCTTCTTCAATTTCGTTTTTTCTAGTTATCGTAGAACCTAGATACCTAAATTTATCTACCTGTTCAAACATATTACCATCTATTTCGATATAACCAGTAGTATCACCATTTTTGCAGCTAACCATATATTTTGTTTTATCCACGTTTATTTCGAGTCCTAGTTCTTTACCGGCTTTCATTAACGTTGTCGTATTTAGTTTTACAGTTTCAACGTCTTCGCTTAACACTGCCAGATCATCAGCATAGCCCAGCACCGATGTTGTCCCACCCAGATCCAACCCTTTCTCGGTACGCATTACCACCCTAATGGCTTGTTCTAATGCCAAATTGAAAAGGACAAGCGAAAGGGAATCTCCCTGTTTTAAACCCGACCGAACCTCAAATTTTTCCGACAGATTATTACCGATTCTAACTTTATTGAGTGTCTCCGTCAAGCACATCCTGACTAGATTTATTAGTTTTTTTGGAATCCCCTGCTCGATTAGAATATTATACAGTTTCTGGCGGTCAATAGAATCGTAATCCTTTTTAAAATCTATATACAGTGGTGAACAATACCGTTGTACTCCAATTTTTTCTCTAATATTTGCCGTAAAGAAAATATTTGATCAATAGTTGAACGATTCCGTCTAAATCCGCATTGGAAGTCTCCGATAATTTCCTCGGCGTATTCCGTGATTCGACTAGTTAAGATTAAAGTGAATATTTTATAACATACCGGAAGGAGTGAAATTCCTCGATAGTTATTACAATCCGTCCTCGGGCCCTTTTTGTGTATCGGAATAAGAATAGATTCTTTCCATTCCTCAGGTAATTTCTCATTCACCCAGATCTTTTTAACCAACCGATGTATTTTAGAAACTCCAGCTTCCCCGCATGCCTTAATTAGTTCAGTTGGAATATTATCGGTTCCCACTGCTTTATATGATTTTAATTTTCCGATAGCTATCAACTTCCCTCTTTACTTGCTCCTTCTATTAACGGTTCATCACTCTGGTACTTAGAAGGAGGACACAGATCATAATTTCCCGTATTTAAAATATTGTCAAAGTGGTCCTTAAACTTATTCAATATATCAACCGAATCGGACAGAATATTGTTATTATCATCCCTAATGCCAGACGTTACGGGTCCTACACATTTACGTGATCTGTTTATACCTTTGTACATGTCTCTTACGTTATTTTCGATTCTATTAGTTTCTATTTCAATTATTTTATTTTTAAGATACTCCTTTTTTTATTTTTTAGCAATTTTGTCGTTTCGTTCTTTGAGGTTCGGAAGTATTCCAGATTGTCTTAGCTAGGATTATTTAGAACTTTTAATTTAGCGACTTTTCTTTTTTCGCACATGTTTAAGCAATCTTCATCAAACCACGGTTTGTTATTCTTATTTTCCTTTTTTCCTAGACACGAGTTACCGACCGCTTTAATATTATCCCTGATCTCTACCCTTAACTTGTCAATATCTTCGTGGTCTTCGTCAGGAAGCTCTAAAGCTCCAAACCTATTCTTAACATCTAGCTCGAATTGGTTTCTAATTGATGGAATTTTTTCATTTTTCCAAATTAAAATTCTCAAAATCGAAGCGGTTTTCTTTTCTCTTTTTAATATTAAGTTTTTGTCGAAGTTTCACGATTACTAATTCATGATCCGACCCACATTCTGCTCCACGATAAGACCGTACATTAATTATACTGCTTTGCCAGCTATGTTTTTTCAAGACATGATCGATTTGATTTCGTGTTTGCGAATCCGGTGATGTCCAAGTATATTTATAAATATCCTTATGTTTAAACGTCGTACTTTTAATTATCAGGTTTTTCGAGATGACAAAGTTTATCAGATGGATCCCATTATCATTACTATATTCGTGCAAACTTTCTTTACCAATCGTCGGAATATAAACTTGTTCCCCTCCTATCTTTGCGTTCGCGTCACCTACAATTATTTTCATGTAATTTCGCGGTAGTTTATCATAAACCCATTTGAGTTTATCGTAAAATCCACTTTTGACTTCATCGCCACTGTCTTCGGTCGGACAATGTATGTTTATTAATGCGATTTTAAACCAAAGTCCCTGAAATATAGCTACCGAAATTCTATCACTAAAGAATTGTACGTCCCTCAAAGCGGATAGTAACCTACTCCTAATTAGAAACTCGGTACCTAAACAATGATTCCCGCTTCCTCCATACCAAATAGTGTACTTTCCTTCCCTCATCGAGCCCTCCCCTGGCCAGCGAACCTCTTGCAGAGCCACGATATCCAAATTGTACCAATTTACCTCATTCGCGACCGATTTTAGCCCCCCTGCTGTGTTTAAACTCCTTACGTTCCACGTACCAACATTTAAATCCCTATATTTCAACTTGCGCCATGAATCCCCTAAAGCAGTCCCCACCCGGAGACCCGAACGGGGAACTAGTTTACCTCCGGATAATGAGCGTTTTACCTTAGGGAGATCCATCCAGACTTGCGGGAGGGTGTGACGTAGGATTGAACGCCCTACTCACATATCTTAGTTCACCAAACACCACAAATATACATACATTTCATATACACTCGGAATTTCTTTTACAATGTGATTATGAGATCTTGTGTCCACCCATAAAAGTGGAATAACACTTGTAGAATAATACAGAATACGCTATTCAAGATTTTTAAAGGAAAAATTAAAATAAATAAAACATGAGAACAATAAATTTGTATTAATGGTACAAAAAGATTGCAAACTAATTTTTTTTAGCAATTAGAACTTGAAAATTTATTGGAAAACAGACAATGTAGCAAACATTACTAACACAAGAAATCGCTGTAAACTTGCAGCTCTTTCACTTTGAAAATTTCTCGTCGGCCAATTTGCTCTTTGAGTTGTTTATTTCATCAGGCATTGAAGACCATTTCCAATTAGAACAGAAGCCGATGTTTTCATGGCCGATATTAATACTTCGGTAATCTGATGTTCGCCTGTTTTCTCCTTAACGTCAAAATACTGAATGGAGCAATGTGAATTTCTGAAGGTCGTAAGTTTTAATAATTTTGATAACTATATCAGAGAAACTTCTAAAATTAATGTTAGGTTGGAAATTACACATAAATTCAGATTTCAAACCTTACATTTTTTGAATGAGAGTTCAATCTTTACACGTAACTATTTAAAAAAAAAGAGATAATAAAATTACCGGAAAAACTGAAATTAAAAATCAGAAATAGTTGTACAAAATAACACAGATAACATAACATCTTAGATCAGTTGGGATATTATGAGAGTGGAAAAAGTGAGCCCACACTCATTCTCTAAAGGTCACTCTATTTATTCTGTACTTTTTGCTCTCTTCTTATTATTAATACCTCCTTGGCCAAGTGTCAGGCTTTATAACAAAGTGATCTAATCATTCAAGATTGGTGGTACGTTGGTCAACAGGTTTTGTGTTCTAGTTTTCAACTTTGACTGAAGGATTTATTAAGTTTTTCTCACATAATTTCCATCTTCGTTGCGGGTTTATTTATGAAATTCAGAATTTAACTGTTACAATAAAGAATGGAAGTCCCCGAAACTAAATATGTGCCTTCAAAGAATAAAAAAATTGATATAGAATCCTTGCAGAGCAAAACTCAGGAAGTAATGTTTTTTATATTTTCACAATATTTATTCCTAGTAGTATTTCATTATAATTTAACTTCAGAATGCATTATTAGATTTATTATTTTATTTTTTGAAGGAATTAATAGAAATTATTCGGCAATTACAAGCTCACAATGAACAATTAAAAGCTATCATTTCAAAGAATTGCGGAGTAGAAAAACATGATCATGATCATAGGAAGAACAATGATTTTGATTTCTCCAGGTATTTTAATTTTTCTTTTAAAAATCTTGAATAGCGTATTCTGTATTATTCTACAAGTGTTATTCCACTTTTATGGGTGGACACAAGATCTCATAATCACATTGTAAAAGAAATTCCGAGTGTATATGAAAACAGAGGGAGGTGATGATAACTGTCTAGTAAGGCCCCTTTCCCCATGACTTCAACTGAAAAGGGCATTGGGAGTTTGTTTATCCCTTTTGATCTGGCTTTAGTCTAAAGCTGCGATATATTAGGGCCTCAATTTTAATTGAAAAGAACCAGTTTGTTGTTGACCAAAGTTTTAAATCAATCTAAATAAGTAAAGGAGCGTTAGCTAAATCTTAAACCATTTATAGTGTGATTTGTACCAACTCTTCTAAAGTAGTGTTGACAGATTACTTATTATTATATATATCATTTAGTAGTTTATGAATGGTGATAAAATGTACAATGTATTTTCTTTTAGATGCAAGTGGTCGCATATTCTTTTAAAGCTTGTTTATTTTGGTTGGGATTATCAAGGATATGTTTGTCAAGATGATACATTAGATACAATAGAACATCACTTAATTCAAGCTTTGCTGAAGTGTCGCTTGATTAAATCCAGGGAAACTAGCAATTATCATCGATGTGGCCGTACTGATAAAGGAGTCAGTTCTTTCAGTCAGGCAAGTCAGTATTGCCCCCTTTTTTTATTTAACATTTATTATTTCATAAATTAATTGAAATTATTTCATGGTTTTCAACTAATCAGCTGGAATGACTAGGTTTTGATGTGGCGTTCATGGAGTTTATGACCATCAGAATTCAGTCATTCTTCATCAATCTTTAGTGTAGCCCAAAAAGTTTATGTTAGTTTACTTCTAATTATATTAGATATTAATCATTGATAAAACAAACTATTCGAATGATGAAGTGATTTTTTTATATGAGGAATCTACTACCAAACATTAATAACTCCATTTTAATTTATTTTTTACATTACAAAGCTTATTATTTAGCTTAACTTAATATTTATTATAAAGTTAATTTCAATTGATTAATCAATGGAAAACGTTTTGCTCCACATTTTGACTTTTTTCAGAAAATTTTAGAATTATGTTATTATATTGTTAAAAATTTATTTTATTTTTGGCTTTAAATAAAATAGTTTTACCACTATTTAGCCTATTTATGACCGCAACCCCGGACCATCTTCCTTTATTTTATCTTTGTTTCACATATACCATAGGTGTGGATGGAATCTTTTTATCAATAGAGCCCGTAATAAGGTCAGGCAGTGCTAATGGAATCCACAATTCCTTATATTTAACTGTTGCTATTTTTTTTTTATCTCTGAATACCGACGCCCACATACATATATTCAGCTTAATTCTATTGTTTTCGAAAATTTCATAACTTGAATAGTTTAATATTAATTAATTTTAGCGCTAGATTAATAAATATCATGCAAAAACATTTGGAGAGTGCAGATTCCTCACCCATGAAATATATATATATTTCTCTATCTTTGAGTGTTCATTATAATCATAGGAATTTATATGATCATTCTTTTAAAACTTTATTAATTGCTTTCTTTTGAAAGCAATGGGAAGTTTAATAATGGACTTGGAGTTATGGAAAGTATGCTGCTGAAAATGAAGCATTAATCATTGTGCATCTCAATATTCTGAAAAATATCTATTGTACAATTGAATATTTATTTCAGTAGTTACCTCAAAGTCCAGAAACCAGATTTTAATTTTAATTTTTTTTTAAAATCTATTGATTCAGTGAAATGTAAAATATATTATATAAAATCAGTAATTTATTTAGATTTTAAAGAACTAATAATCATTGTGATATTTTACAGGTGATTTCTATAACAGTTCGAGCTTCTGATGAAGAAAAAAACCCTTTAGATTATTGTAAAATGTTAAATAGGTTATTGCCTGACGATATTAAAGTAATATGTTGGCAACCAGTTGCGGAAGAATTCAGTGCACGCTTTAATTGTAATAACAGAACTTACAGATATTTCTTCCCAAAAGGAGATTTGGATATAGAGGTAATATTATATATTGTCGGATCAACAATATTTTCTATTATTCCAGGTCTGTTTTTTTTTTCTTGTCTATCATACTTTGCCTTTTTATCTATACAGGGTTTTTCCCGGGCCAGATGGGATGACAGGGGAATTAATGTTCAAACTCGTAATCTCCAGGTTATCAGGTTGCCAGACAACACTTTGAAACGCATTAGTCTGTTCGACCACTGCACCCCCAGACATTCTGCCAGGACTCATTCTTCTGTGCAGTCAATAAATATTGACTTATATTTCATAAAAGACCTCACTTATACTAAATTTGTAACCTATAGGATGGACTTTTCTTTTAGTTAAAGTAGCAAGGTAAAACTGTTGCATGCCCTTTCAAAAGGGAAAAGAATGGACTTTTTTAAAAAATTGGGGTAGGGATAGCCAATCTGGCCAATAGTTTTATTTTTAGTCCCCATTCGACAAGCAGGAGAGGAGGACCACTATCAGTTTGGTGATTACCATTTTTATTGATTAATTTATTAAGATGTGATTTTAAATTGTTAGGTTTTAAATTAGTTTTATTGTTGTTATTAATTTAATTTTTTTTTTTTTTTTTGCTTCCTCACTACCGAAGGTAGGGAAGCATTGTGTTCGTGCGAGAGATTAAACAAATTTGTTTGCTCAGAATCGAAAATTTTCACTCGTGTTTTACGTTTCAGACATCAAGGATCAAATTTGGTTCGGTGTCTGTCTGTCTGTCTGTAGTCAAATCGATGTGACGCGCATATCACCTAGTACCGTTCATCCAATCTTCATGAAATTTTCAGGGATTATGCTGATTGGTGCCTAGATGGTCCCATATCAATTTTATCAAATTCCATCCAGCACTTCCGCTTACGCACGCGCAGACGTATATTTTTAGATATGCCAATATTTCAGAAAGGGCTCGTTCGATTTGGCTCAAAGTTAGATAAAAGATAGACTTTGGTGAAAAAATAATGTAGTGTCAATTTCATTGAATTGTGTCCAACACTTTCTCTTGTATATGCACTACTAGTCCGCCGTCCGCGCATTTTTTTAAAACTACTAGACCGATTTTTTTCAAATTTGGATAAAAAATCAGAGGTCACCCGAGGATCATCCTCCTACAACGACATTACTATTCGCCTTCTAGTTTCAAAATGGCGGCCGAAAAACCTGCGTTGCTATAGACTGTAGCGCCTAAACGAATGTACCGATTTTGATGAAACTTCGCTAAAGTCATTTTCTCTACGCCCTCTAAATTTATCTATACTACATACTTCAACGAAAAGAAGCTCAGAAAAAGTTACGAGGGATGGTAAAATTAAATTCCGAATAACTCAAGAAGTATACACATTTATGTCAATATTGTATTGGTTTTTTAGAAGTTTACGGAATTTCCTAAAAAACAAAAAAAAATTCGTCAAAATCGGACAATTAGGAGCAAAGATATGGTCTCTAGTTTTTTTTTTAGATGTGCTATTTCAAAAGGTTTGTCTTTTTTTTGATTTCTGAATGTGTTACTGAAGTAATGCTATTTTCTTTTAGCATATTACTAATGATTAAAAAAAATTTTAGTCCAATAATTAGAATCACCTTTTATTTATTTGTCTTTATAACTAGGAATTTAATGTTACTTTTTATGTATAATTGTTTGGAAATAATATACCAAAGAGAAATAATTTGCAGTGTTTTTTTTTCAAATTAATTATCGTTATATGTATATATATATATATATATATATATATATATATATATATATATGTATAAATCTTTCGTGCTGAAGCCCCTCCTCCAAAATTAAATCTTGATTCGGTAATGTATATACTATTATCAGAGCATAAGTTGGTATGTAATAATTTTCAACTTTAATTCTATCTGTATTTAAGGTGATATTTTGTAGTCTGCAACTGATATAAGTAGTCTGCTACTATGGAAAATAGCAGATGAAAATAAAATATGAAATTATTCTAATAAAGCATAAAGAAATATTGAGTTTTTATGCACTCTTGTAAAACAATAAATAAATTTATACATAAGACCTTTTGAACTAACAGTATTGAAATTCATGTTCAGTATGCACATTTTTTATTTGTTTATTTTTTTATTAAGCATAATCAAGTATGGAATATTCAAATACGACCCTCTTTTGTTGAATGTTGAAGGGTCACTGTAATCGGCTATTCCAATTCATCTTCTCTCAGAGATTTTATTCTCATACGAAAAATTGTATACCTTGTAATATACAACGGAAACGGTGAGGAAGCTATACTGACCTTACTTGGCAGACGTTTTTTTTTTTATGCCTAGCCTGATGAAGGTCTGATAAAAGACCGAAACTGGTTGAAGAAAAAAAAAAAAAAAATGGAATATTCAGGAGGACAACGTCTTCTTTTGTAAAATTGTCTTTTTTTTCCTAGTTAGATTACAAAGGAAGGAGATAGTCCGGGGTGGTGGTCATAAATATTTATGACCGCCACCCCGGACCATCTCCTTCCTTTATAATGCAATGGTCAACTATTAAATATTCACCAGTTAGATTACATTGAGATGTTTGATTAAAAGAATTTTTTTTTAGGCTAAATTTTTGTGAATTTACTTCTTAAACAAACTTTTTTGTTGTTTCAACTAGTTTTTCAAAACAGTCTAAATAAAAAAAAAAAACTTTTGAGCTAGATGGTGATCAAAGTTACCATTTCAAGCTTCATTTAAAAATATCTTTTAATTTATATGATTAATTTTTTAGTACATTTTATTAAAAAATTTCCACATATATAATTACAATAATGCTCGAAATCGGTTTTGTACCAAATATAAGCTCCTGTCATGCTCAAATACCATCAATGGGATACTGTTGGATTCAGAATTTCATGGGGGGGTTAGCGAATCGTATTCTACACTTTTGTTTTTCTTTCTAAAATAGATAAAGTCGATGCAAACATTTTGCTAGGCTTCAATATTGGAATGGTGATAAGTATGTAGATCGATATGAGACAAATTGGGCTTTGAAGATTTTGATGTGTACAGCAAGACCAGGATATATTTTTCCATGTCCGCTCTGCTTCAAGCCCAAAAACGTACTATTTTCGAGATAATGCAAGGCGTATGGTTCGCATGCACACAACCTTACATTAATTGTAGCACTATCATTGAATACATGTCTCATTTCGTCGACTTGATGTCCCTATGATTGAGAGAGGAGAAGTTTATATTTTCATCAATGGTGTTTTTGATCGGCAGGCCACATCATCATTAATTCTTCACCAAATCCCAAGATTTAGCCACCAATTTTGAAGGCTTCCTTTACCTTCAGGCGGACGAAACAGTCCATCACCCTGAAAATTCAGGCAAACGAGTTATGAAAGAAAAGAAACTATATTTACGAATAACTAAAAAATTACACATTTTTTTCTTGGTTATGCCCATGTTTATAAAAAGGTTACTAAATTCGCTACAAAAGGGGGGGGGGAAATCATCGAAATCAGACAATTTTTAGCAAAGTTACAGCTTATTGAAATTTGTAGGTTCCAAACTTTAATGAAGTTTTGTTTCCTTTTCGATGGTGGGCGGGGTAGCCGAACGGGCTAAAGCGTGTGCACTGCACCGCCGTTGCCTGGCAACCTGACATATGAATTAAGGATATAAAAATACTCACGAGTTCGCGTCCCGGTGCCGGGGGTCTTTTAAATCCCCGCCCACACTCCCTGGCCCGGGAAAATCCCGTATAGCCTTATCGGCGAGGAAGGGAAGGACCAAAAAAAAAAAGTTTCCTTTTCGATTATATTTATCAATAAAGTAACGATTGATTTCTTTATCTTATGATCCATTGCATTATTTTATTTTATAATTAATTTGCCATTTTATCACTTAACAATATGCTGTGCGAATTTTTCGCACGCGCCTACTATCATCTTTTATTTTTTCCAGGCTATGCAAGAGGGAACAAGGTACCTTTTAGGGACACACGATTTTAGAAATCTTTGTAAAATGGATGTTGGTAATGGTGTCACCAATTTTATTAGAACAATAGATCATGCCGCTGTATCAAAATTAGAGGATTTTCATTATCAAGGTAATATTTTTAAATTTGCAGCCATTTTAGTTTTATCATCACTTTCCATTAGTTAAATGTCGATAATAAAAGTTCTATTCTGTTCAAAAATGAATAGGGGTATTGTTAGTTATGTATGATTTATTTTCACTAGAATTTTTATTTTATTTTTATCATAAAATAAAATGAAAACTGATGTAAATAAGATAGTATTTGACCTCAGAAAATTTCATAAAAGGTGTTTTAAAAAAAATATTAATATTAAATGTCTATTTGATCTTGTTTTTATGATTGCAAATTGTAAACATTTTGTGGAATTTTATAATTTGTGTAATATCCTCTGTTAGACATTACCTCTCTGCACCTATTGAGCATACTTTTTATGATGTTGTTATTGATTTCACTAGGAATTTCATAGTTTTCCCTATGAGGTCGCATATTATCGTCGAGAAAATGAAAATCTGAGCCAATTAAGGCTGTTCCTGGTTTGAGGAATGTACTCCTTTTTAATCTTTTGAACACAATGAATACCAATAAGATTATCTCCCACAATATGAAGTAGAGTCTGTCCTTCTGAATAGATTTCACCTCCAGACTGCATTGGAGGAAGCACAAACTGTGGCAGTGTACACATCCCCTGTGTCTATGATTGCTATAAGTACAGAAACGTGACTCATCTATAAACATAACAGCAATCAAATTTGTATCCTCATTTAGGCACTTTTTTTGGTGGGGGAGTCCTCCCCTTCCTCGCCGTTAAGGCTATACGGGGTTTTCCCGGGCCAGGGAGTGGGGGCGGGGATTTAAAAGACTCCCTCGGCACCGGGATGCGAAGTTTTAATAAGTTGGGTCGATTGGCGCTTCAGACGGTCACCCATCCAAGTGCAAGCCACGCTCGGCGTTACTTAACTTTGATTAACTGTTGCAAGCGCTGTAGCCCCCAAGGCTACCCGAGCTCCCCACCCATTTAGGCACTTGCTGCACCATGATCTGCAGAGTTATTGGCGACGCACTGTTGCTGTACGTCTTCTTAATGAGGCATAAGATATTAGACCAACTTCCCACAAATGATTAAGAATGGTTTGTGTTGGTATGGGCTGTGGCTCAACATTCAACACTTCATTTAGGATCATCTATGAAAAGGGTTGCTTCTTGCAGTAATACCAATATTTCTGTCATCCCTAAGTGCCATAATGTACTGAGATAACTCCAATAGGTTTCCTATTGCAGAGATGGACAAATGCTACTTTGAGTACTGAGCACCAAGTATTTTACTCAAATACTGACCTTTTTTGAGTAACAAAAAAATAAATTACTACTTCAGTTGATTACATATGATAAACTAAAGTAGTGATTCAATATGAGTAAAATACTTGGTACTAGGTACTCAGAGTAGCATTTGCCCATCTCTGTCCTATTGGTACTTTCTGAATCTGCCTGGAGCTCAGGATACCACAATCTGGGAGTCGCCAACTGCATTGGCAATATTCAGTGCCCTTAACCGCTCATTCCCACGATAATATTGCAAATTTCTGGTTCAATATGATGTCTTGTCTTTCCTTCGTTAAACAGAATATTACTGAATTAAAATTTAGAAAATTCGAAAACAATTGTTGGTTTACAAAACGAGTATTCTTCAAGATGGTTATCCTTTAGTTAGTAATTTATTTAAAACAAAGATTACTTGGTGTTTACTTTTTATGTTTACCAACAAATAAGAGGAATCACTAAGGTACAAAAAAAAGGGGGGGAGGGCATTTTATTTAAAACAAATAAAATAACATCAAATATAAATATCCGTATTCAGTTTTGAGCAGTATATTTCAAATTACTGAACACAATAACTTTAAATAACAATAATTATGCAGCTATAAACGCAATTGAAATAATAGTTATTAAATTGAGAAAATAAATGAAAAACTAAAACAGTAATTAAAGACCAACTTAATAATGCACCTATAATGAAGATAAAACAAAAATAATTAGCAAAATCCTTCCATTCATTATATTTTAATATACTTGTATGAAATAGAGAAGTTTACGTTTACCATGGTGTTTAATTATTATAATTATGGCCTGTAATCTTAAGATATTATCTGATGTCCACTTGTTAATATAATCTGTGTGAATGAATACTTAAATTATTGACCAAACTTATCAATAAATTGTAACACCCGATTTTGCAGCGTTCAATACATCCCAATGTATTGAATAGGGAGGTAAAGATTCCCCAAAACTATCATTAATAAATAATAATAATAAAAACTAAGTGTGGTTATTTATTATATTGACCTATAGGCAAATAATAGTGAAAACAAACTGTTTTCATTTCAGAAAATTTTGTGAAATAATATTTGTATACACACTTTACACTGCAGGGAAGTGGAGAGTAGCACAGGACAGAGAGAAATGGAGAAAAATTACTCAGGAGGCCAAGGGTCATGCTGGCCTGTAGCGCCAGGGAGTTAGTTAGTTATTTTGTATACACAACTGTAAAAATTTCAAATTTATTTTATTATTAAGTGTTGGGGTGTATCTAACTGCTAAACAAATTTAAATGAAGAAAACACTATAACCCATGAAGGGTCTTGGGTTCAGTACTACTTAGGAAAAGTACTGTTTCTCAGTCAACGGTTGTGCAAGGAGGTGATTTGACTGAGATCACGCTAACCGCAAGATTTGTCCCCTTAATTAATTATTTAATTAAGGGTACCCACTTTAGAGAGGCTGGGCATGCCCCAGGAGTCTCCTGATCTTAGGGTCACCCCACGGCTAATGAAATAGAATAAATAATTTTTCTACCAAGAGCCGGGATTCGAACCCAAGACCTTCAGCATAGGAAGATCAGTGACTTACCACTAAGCTACCCCACTCCAAACAAAAAAAATTTATTACAAGATTATTTTAGTTTTAGCTGTAATTGGAAGTAAGTGCGTGGAATCCTATTTTCTATCTGCCTCGGATGGGTGATGGGGCTATTAACACCTTGCGATTGAATTCTTCCGACTGCAACGGTCTTCAAAGGGTGTGGTCCCGGTGCAGTTCTCCAGCCGGACCACTGGTCACCAGCTTCGCCTGTAGATGTCGGCTCATGGGCCCATCCAACTCTTAGTGTCTTCGGCCCCATGTCAGTTCTAGTGAGGCTGCTGCACCTCACCAACGTTATTTTTTATGATCTCCCGGTCAAGATCCGCCATGTTTGATAGAAGCAGGGCTACCTCAGGCAGGATGCAATATAGGTCACGCACAGACTGTCGTGGGAAGAGACAGTTTCTTATGCTCGACAGTTCCCCTGGGGTTGGAGAGTGGGAGGACCCATACTTCAGGTCAGTCCTAGATAAAGGTACTGCCATCCCCCATTCCCTTGGCCCCACAAGATTATTTAATTATATTGTTATTTTATTATTAATGAAATTATTATTGTGTCTGTGTGTGTGTATGTGTACAGCCTAGCTCAAAACGAAAAGTTGTTGTATGAAGCTGAAATTGCGTATCTGAGATTTTTATTAGCCTGGGTTGTTACAGCTACATTTTCGTCTAAATCGGCAAACTAGAAGTGGTACATTATATAATCAATTTAACAAATTTTTATAATTTTCTCAAAAATGGCTCTAACGATTTTGTTTAAACTCAGTATATCAGTTTATTATTTAAGCAGTTTTTAATATAACATAGGAGTTATTCTCATTGATGTTCTCTAACATTGAACTAATTTTCAATATTAACTTCCTCTAAAATACCTTTATTTTTTTAAAAATAATTAACCATTTCATATTATTCTTTGATATAAAAAATCTGGTGCACGCAACATACAACTTTCACTTACTCTTTGAATTTTGCTCAACTTTGAATAGAAATTATTTTCTGGCAATGTTGGGCTATTATAAAAATTTTTAATTGCATTTTTAACTGAGCTAAAGCTAAAAGATTTCAGCTAACAAATCATAAATACTATTAAAATAACAAAAGTCCTATTTATTATAACACCAGTTGATTATGGATTGTACGATTCGTTGATTATGGATTGTTTGATCCGTTAATTATGGATTGTTCGATCTATTGATTATGGATTGTACGACTATTAATTATTAAACTGTTATTTTCCATTGCAAAGTTTATTAAAACGGAATTAAGAGATTTTCATTGTCTTACACAGCCTTTATAAAGTGAGCACCCTTAATTAAACAATTGGTTAAGGGAGAAAACCTGATGGTTGAATGTTATCTGTCAAATCACCTCCATGCACAACCGTTAAGCAATAAACAGTACTTCCTTACTAAGTACTGAACACAAGACTCTTCATGGGTTGTAGAGGTCCCTGTTTTTTTTAACCATTTTATTCAAATGAAACTTAAAAATAAATTTATCTTATTTTACAGTTTTTATAACAAAAATCTAGTTTTATGTATTACATTTTTTATAGCTACCCATCTCCACTAGCGGATCCAGGATTTAATTTTGGGGGGGCTTCAGCCCGAAAGATTTTTTTTTTCGTATACATATAACGATAATTAATTTGAAAAAAAAAGAAATAAATTAACTACCTATATGAAATGGTGTTTTAGTGGTTCTTGAAGTCTTATTAAATGTAATTACACGAACAAGATTACTTTAAGAGATAGTTTATCATATTTTTTCTGTAAAACATATTTTACCATTTTGGGGGGGGGAGCTTCAGCCCGAAAGTCCCCCCCCCCCCGTAGATCCGCCTGTGCCCATCTCTGATGATTAGGGTTCACTTTTGAAATAAACTACTCAAATGTAATCTAACCTAACCTGTCAAAGAACAGTGTGCTCATGTGATCTTACTGCACCTGTTTAATTTAATTTAAAACAGTTCATTTTTTTTTTATTCTAATGTTTAAAGGTACTGGGTATGACATGTATTTTTTTGAATTGAAATCACAAGCTTTTTTGTGGCATCAAGTTCGCTGCATTGTCGCTGTTCTTTTGTTAATCGGAAGGAAACTAGAGAAACCATGTGTATTTAATGACCTGTTAGACATCACAAAAAACCCAAGGTAATTTATAGTGCTACTCAAGTTTTATTTTTTAATTTATTTATGTTATATTTACATTTAAACATATTTGCAGTAGTCCCTCATTAACAAGAGCTCGACAAGAGACTGAATTTTCAAGTTTGTCTGATCTTAGTGATTTTAAGTTTTTCTATAGTATTCATTCTCATGTACTCTTTATTTTTGACAGTTGATTTTAGAATGAGGTCGTGATGGCCGAGTGTGTTGGAGTGCATTCCGCCACCCTCGGCCCTAGTGATGCCGGTTTGAATCTGGTCTGGGAGGGGTTGGCTTTTATTTCATGGCGGATTCACAGAATGAAACTCGACCCTCCCACTCTGGTTAAAATACGTGTACCTCTAGAGCAACCCTCCTCCCGAGAACCCTCCTATCGTGGAAGGGATGAACAAAAAAAAAAATAAAGAAGTTGATTTCAGAATTAATTCTTAAATTCTGTATTGAATTTGGAATACACATTCATATAGTGGGTAGTAAAATTTAATTATATTTTAATGAACTTGAATAAAAAATGATATTATGTGTAATATTGTTTTTTATGTATTTGAAAAATAAACACCTCATTTTTAGTAATGATTGATAATGAAGATTTTGGGTTATTAAATTTTTCAACTATTTTTGTTTGAGATCTTCTTTTAAAATTTCTTATTTTGTTTTTAGCTCAATATATAAATTGCTGGGTAAATTTTTATTTTTTGAAGTTATTGTTACTTGAACACGACACATCTGGTTTAATTATAATTACAGTTTTTTAATAAATATCTATACAGAAACAGATATTTTTATGTAATGAGTGTAGTTGAAACTGAATTTGAATGTAGAAGAAGACCTAGTCTGAGGTGGGAATTACCAATTAATGTTTACTAAATCCTATAACCCCTCGGGTAATCGAATTAATAGTATCTGAAGCTGAATACTTGACACTAAAATTGCTAAAAATTTGTGTTAACTGTGGGTTTCTTAAAAATTATGGTAAGAAATTCATTGTTGTTTTTTTTTTTCTGGATCAAGAAATTGGTTTTTGGAAAAATGCTTTTATCAAATCAAACTTTTAAAAAGTCAATCATTTTTATTTTTAACATTTTTTACTTGGCTAGTTTTGAAACTGAATATTTTTATCATAAATTAAATTCTCTAGGGTTGTATTATTTAGTCATTAATTGTTGATTGGTACCAATTTTGTAACATTATTATTTACTATTAAACAATTGTAATTTCAGAAAACCTCAATATCCTATGGCTCATCCAATTGGACTAAATTTATTCCTGACTGAATTCGAATGTGGGAATTGGATTTTGGATGAAGCAGAAATCAGTCGTGTAATAGAAACTTTACAAAAACATTGGACTATGAATACCATAAAGTAAGATATAAATTTGAATATTTATATTTATATTTTTCTTGTCTGATGAACGCCTGGAACTTAAGCCGAAACATCGTCCCAAAATAATATTAACAAAATCTGGTGCACACAACACACAGCTTTCACTTACCGCTCAAATTTGACTAGACATTATTTTCTGGCCATGTTGGGCTATTATAAAAATTTTTAATTGCATTTTTAACCGAGCTAAAATCATAAATACCATTAACATAACAAAAGTCCTATTTATTATATCACCGGTTAATTATGGATTGTACGACTATTAGTTATTAAACAGTTATTTTCCATTGCAAAGTTTGCTAAAATGGAATTAAGAGATTTCATTATCTGTCATAGGCAGGTCAAAAGTTGTCACACTAATTGGAAGTGGATAGTGTTGGAATATCACAAAGGGAAAATTCATTAAATTATTCACTAATTTAATTTTATAAAAGGTTACTTGATGATTTTTCGGAATAAACGGACAATAGATACCTAATTATTTAAATATAATATCAGATCTAGAGTTATTTGAGAACCCTAACAAAATACACAAAATATATTTAAGGTTGTAAACATATCCATGAAATATTTTTATATTTCACTTCTTCTTTCACACAAGTACAATGAAATAGTATCATAAACAGTGTCATTGTCTTGAATCCACGGATTTTAAATACTTTTTCAAATTATTATACTAAAAATAATGTTAAAAGTTTACATTTAGTTAGAAAATTTCATTTAATTTCCTTGAAAACATATGATTTACTTTAAATACTGTTAGTTTTTAGAAATTATTATTTATATATTTTTCGCCACTCTCCGATACCTTCTACAATTTTTTATATTAGATATTGTTTTCTTTCGATTCTCAGCATTCCAATGATATATTATACTATACTTTCCGACTATTATTTCCGGTCTAGATATATATATTTTTCATTTTTTCTCCAATATTCAATTATCAAATTCTTTCAAAAGTTATATTTGGCATTTTTTCATAATTCCTAACGATGTGAAATAGATATCATTTATAATAAAACAAATTAATGATACTTTAGCGGAAGACAATAATTTTGGGATTTCACAAAAAGAAAATTCAGCAAATTATTCACTAATTTAATTTTTTTTAATGATGTAGAGATGGTTGACCGTTGATATGATATGAGAAGGAGTTAGTTGAGGGTGCGGTCAAATAAATAAAAAAATTAAAATATATAAATAATTTTAATTTTTGCCGACGTTTCGACCCACTTTGCAGGTCGTCTTCAGGGCTACAAAAGATACAAACATTCAATACAAACATTTGTAGCCCTTAAGACGACCTGCAAAGTGGGTCGAAACGTCGGCAAAAATTAAAATTATTTATATATTTTAATTTTTTTATTTATTTGACCGCACCCTCAACTAACTCCTTCTCTAATTTTTTTAAAAGTTCGATGACGATTTTTCGGAATAAACGAATGTTGATACCTAATTATTTAAATATAATATCAGATCTAGAATCATTAAACTACAGTAAACGTATTTAAGGTTATAATCATATGCTTTATACATCCATGAAATGATTTTATATTTCACTTCTTCTTTCACACAAATGCAATGAAATAGTCTTTCAAACAATGGTATTGCCTTGATTAGGTGGATTTTAAATACTTTTTCAAACTTAAAAATATTTTAAAAGTTTACATTTAGTTAGTAAATTTCATTTAATTTCCTTGAAAACATATGATTTACTTTAAATAATGTTAGTTTTTAGAAATTATTATTTATATATTTTTCGCCACTCTCCGATACCTTCTACAATTTTCTATATTAGATATTGTTTTCTTTCCATTCTCCGCTTTCCAACAATATATTATACGTATACCTACTGACTAGTATTTCCAGAGATTCATTTTCGACCTGGATATGCATTTTTATTTATTTTTCTCCTTTATTCAATTATTAAATTCTTTCAAAAGTTATATTTAGCATTTTGTCATAACTCTAAACAATGTGAGATGATTAATTATTTAAAATAAACTATATTAAAGGTAATTTAGAGGAAGACGTATATGAACATTGGTCATTTAAGCCCTGTAAAGTGACATCAATGGGGATAAGACCTGATTGATATTAAAGACCACTTCATTTTAGTTTAATCAAAATTGGTAGAGCGGTTTTTGAGAAAATTGTAAAAATGTGTTTCACCGTTGATATAAAGTGGCACATCCGCCTCGCCGATGTTTACGAAAAAGTTGCTAACATCTAAGGCATATACCTATCTTAAATACGTAATATCAGTTTCGTACGACTTTTCATTTTTGAGCTAGAATGCTAACATATACACACACAGACCATTTTGCGGGACTTAGTTAATTGGATTCAGGGTACCTCAAAACATTTATTTCCTTTGAAAACTTAGACTTGGAAATTTTCGCGATCGCAATACTTTCCCTTACTATGTATAACATATATAGGTAAGTGAAAGTAATAAAAAAAAATTTATTTGTATTTGTGTTCTCTCTGATTGCCACCCCAGCCAAATTTCCATTTTTTCACTAAACAATGTACTATGTGAATTATTTGTGCTAGCCAGCTAATTATTTTTTTATTTTTTGACATGCAATACAAATCTTGAAAAATAAACTTTAATATTTTTAATTCATAAGTATAACTAATTAAATGTTACATAACTTATTCAAATTTAATTACATTATCTATTTCCAGAGTGACTCACATTAAATCATCAATATTGGAATTATCAAAAGTAGTTTCTAAAGAAATAAATGCTCAAGATTCAGTGCTACTGAGGCAGGAGTCTAAAATTTATAAACCACTTCTTACAAGAAATAAATGTAGTAAGTATAATGTTTTGCTTCAATGTTTAAAAAGCTTCCATTCAATTTTCTTTCTTGATAGATGTTGTTTAACTCCACATACATCTTTCAAATTAACTTTTGTTTTTAATTAGCATGGTGCAAAATAATAGTTCATACCTATTTGTTAAACATTAATCTTTTTTTTTTTAGGTACATTAGAAGAAAAGATCTGCCACTTTGTAAAAAGAAGACGTATCAAAGAAAATGTGGAATGATTCTTATTGTTTGAATCATTATATTATTGTTAAAAAGAATTACCTTTTCCTTTTCCCAGAATTATTTCTATGTATTACTGTCGTACATTTTATGGTTGGAAGTAATTTGTCTTTGTTTTTTTACTAGATAACAAACTTGAAAGTCCGCAGTACAGATCTCTTTCTATGAAATTATCAACATTTGTCTAAAGCTTAGTGAATGGTTTCATCTGATTGTAAACGGCAACTTTTTTATCTACAAAAATTCTCAGAAGTGGGGCATTTTCTCATTAATTTAATGAAGTACTAAAAACTCATGAATTCCCATTTGCTTTTCACTTTGAATCGTAAGATACTTTAATCACAAAATCAAGAAAAAAAGTTTTTTTATTTATTTGGGTTTTATACAACTCAAGGAGTCATATCCCCCACACCCAAAAGCCACTGCTCCCTGTCCCTCCAATCTCCCTCACGAAGCCCTCTGGCTGCAATGCTTTCCTCCACGTCCACGTGGTGAAAACCATATACTCTGTTTTACTTTCACTGATTTTCAGACCCCATCTGGAATACGTGTCCAGCAACTTCCTTATCATATAGCTAACATCATCCGGATCCGATGCGATTATGACTTGGTCATCGGCATACTGCAAATTGTAGATGACATCATTCCCGATTTGAACACCCATTCCACAGCACGATCTTTTCCAGTTTTTAAGGGCTTGTTCTATATAAATGTTGAAAATCAGGGGTGAAAGGCAGCAGCCCTGTTTCAATCCTTTGTTAATGAAGAAGCTTCTAGACACTCTATCTCCAATTTTTATAGCCCCCGTTATATTTTTATAGAGCTCTTGAATTGCTCTGATGAGGTATCTCTTAATAGATGTGGATTCCAAAGCTTTCCACAATTTCGCTAGAGGTACTGAATCATAGGCCTTGTGTAAATCTACAAATATCATATGGAGTTCACGGTCGTGGGCCATCCTCTTTTCCTATAAGTTGTGAGAGACTAAAAATGTGATCAGTGCATGATCTTCCAGCTCGAAAACCCGCCTGTTCCTCGCTGATCTCTTCCTTTAAATCATTTTCAATTCTGCTTTTAATTATCCGGCCGTATAATCTACTCAGCGAGCTGGTAACAGTTATACCTCTGTAGTTGGAAACATCTTTCTTTTGGCCTTTTTTGAAAACTGGAGTGATATAACCCTGTTTCCATTCTTCAGGAATCTCTCCACCATTTAACAGAAGTGTCATACTTTCTGCCAGTGCCATTTTGAGTTCGGTCGGGCCTGCTTTAATTAATTCAATTGGAATAGAACCAGGGCTGGGAGATTTTCTATTTTTCATTCCTTTGAGGACTGAATCCAGTTCTATGATTGTGATTGGCGGTATATCTTCCTTATTTAGCATTATTTCATCGGATTGGTTCCATGCGAATTCGGGTTGCTCCTCATGAAATAATTCTTCAAAGTAATTCACCCATTGCTGCTCCTTGATCAATGGGAAGTTATCTCCACATCTTTTGGGATTTTTCAAACTTTTTAATGTCCTCCAAGCAGCACTAGACTTTTGTCCATCAATGTAAGTGTCCACATACTTGTAGAAAAAAAGTTACCTATAAAAATATTAGTCCGTTTTGCTTACAAAACGTTATTTTGACATTTTAGGGGTGGAGATCATGCACAATATTTTTATTGGTGTGATTATGGCACCCAAAATTGGCATGACCTCCACTCCACACACGTCACGATAACAAGGTTATATTGGCCAATCGGTTCAATATTATTGGTAGCCCCAGGATTTCTTTTTCAATTTTGTGATCAAATTATCTAAAGTTAATTTGGTAATCAAATGGTGTTCATGAGTTTTTGGTACCTCATTAAATAGCCAAAACTTACCGATCTCTAGATTAAAAAAGCCCAATTTCTGTAAATAAAATAATTGTAGGTGAAGATAAGACCATGCCATTCATGACGTTTAGAGAAATGTTAATTATTTGATAAAAAGGGGTCTGTACTATGGACTAGGAGGAATAGCCTAGGGTATTAAAGTATCTTTTTTTGGAATCATCAGCTGTTGCTGTTCCAAGAAAAATCAAAGTGAGTTTGCATTAATCCCAACAACATTAACACCACTTTTCATTTTTAGTGGTGCTTGGAAATGTTGGAAATGAAAGCAACCTTTAATATTTTCTAACTAATAATATGCATAGAAATGACTAGATGATTACTCCAGAAGAAAGTTTTAATAACAAATTGTGATTGTATGTAATAAAAAATATACATACAATGATGTTAACAAAAATTTAGTATAGATTGATTTGTAAAATAGGAAATTGGTACACTGCTGAACCATTGAGAACCTATTTGATACAAGATAACTATATTAATACAAAAGAATAACATTAAGAGTGTGCAAAGAATAAAAAAGTAGTTAAATATATCTTCATTTTTATATGAAGATGTTGATACTTCTCAAAACCCTGTGACTTGCTATGACCAATGATGGCTTATTGTTCTAATATGGGAGATGCTACTATAAGATTAGAACTGTCTATTGAAGTTCAAGGTATTGACAGATCAGATTTTAGATGAGTGGCTGTTGAATATTAGATAGATTTAAAGTATGCAGTCCTTATTGTTAATTATTAAACTCAGTATTATTTTTTTTACCATACCAACTTTTAAGAGAACTCAGCAATTATGTCTGATGCAAGGAGATAATTGTCTAGCCATTTTCCTTCCCTCCCCTCCCCCCTCTTAGCAATATGTTTCAGGTTATGTAGTCAATTTATCAAAAATGTCTGGTGTATCTCCAATTTCTAGATGTCTCCCCTTTGTGGATTACACCTTACCATCCTGAAAGCCTAGTATATATTTGTAGTTTGTCAAAATTTGAGTAAATTCACTTTGACTTTCATCTCTTCTGCAACATAAGTTCTAGAAGAGATTAGTAGTTTCTGACCCTGGTAGATCAAGGATTTAATTTTGGGAAGGCTTCAGCCCAAAATTTTATATATATATATATATATATATATATAACCATAATTACTTTAGAAAAAAAAGAAAAACAACTACCTTTATGAAATGGTGGTTTATCTGATTCTTGAAGCCTATAATTATATGAGAGAAACAAGTTATTTTCATATAAAAACTTATTGCCCAATTTTATTTAGAGATAATTTTTTCATAAGACATTATTATATTTTATAACCAAAAGCCTCTCCTCATAGATCTGTCCATGGCATCTGGAATTGACTGATGAGTAACTGCCAATAATCTTTCCAAAGCTGAGCAGATTGTTGGATTTGGGCCTTCAGCCAAAATACTTATGTTACCTTAATAGTATAGGCCAACTGCAGTTTTGCTCAAAATACACATCCAGCTTGATATACCACCCGCAAACACGTAAGTCTTGTGAAATAATGCTTGGATTTCTGTGTTCCTTGGACTTCGTCATCAGTTACTTATTTTTAACACCAGTTTGGTTTCTGGAACGTCATTTAGTTTGACAAATGAGTTGCAAAACCGGGGTTTATTGGGTCTGCTAACATCCATATTTCTTGTTGTTTTAAATAAATTAAAGTAAGACCTTTTCATTCAAGAGCTCTCAAATCGTAAACTGAAACTGGCTTCCCATCGATCCTGTTTGTGTGGGTCATACTATGCCCTGCGAACGAACACAAACCGGTATAATCCACTTGAACTATCAACATAGTCATTTTAACTTAATTTAAAGCTTAGATTCAGTATATCATGTAACGTAAAGAAGACTGTTTCTGCTACAGCTTTTGTTTTGGATGGTATTGTAAATATTCAGCAAGAAAAAGACGACAATGGATCATCGTTAAATTAAAGTCGATTGCGGTGAACTTTTATTCGCTACATTTTAAGTAGTTAAAAATATCAAAGACGTGAAGAAGCAATAAGACGATTTAGTCCAGATATTGAACATATTAATCGATTTTCTTTTTGGTGAAGAAGAAAATAGGCTGTTCATGACGGTTAAGATACTTCTCATATTACGATGAGTATCTTTAATTAAGATACTACCCATGGATACCTGATGGCCCGTGATTCTTCACCAAAATGCCAAACCTGTGGGACTCCTCTGACAGTAAAACACATTTTAACAGAATGCAGAGCTTACAAAACATTTAGACTATCTTATGAATTGACAAACGATCGACACTTCATTTTACAGGACAATACGAATGAAATTGATAAATTATTTTCTTTTCTGAAATGTTCTAAACTTGAAAATACAATCTAATTCTCAATGAAAATAAGGTAATAATGACCCTAGTGGTTGAAGTCTTAAAATAAAAAAAGATACTTCTCATGTTACTTACTCTCTTATGTGGGATGATTGTTTTCCATTATTTAACATTTCATACTATCCATAGCATTCTTTCGTTCATTTTTTTTTCAATAACTTGTTTGATCGAGGTACGTGATCTTTTTAGGTTAGAGTCGTCTTCTCTTAATTTTTATGATAGCAATTGATATTCTTAATCAAAAAATGAATAAATGAAAGAAAATCAATCTTTAATTAAGAATTTTCAGTGTTGATAAAACACAAAGCATTAATATCATTCACAATTAGAGAGTTATCTGATAATAAATTTTCCAGCCTTCCCATGATGTCAAAGTGTTTTAAATCTTTGGAAAGTTATACTATCGATAGGTAATTTAGTTGATCTGTCTTTAGGGCGCTGTGAAGTAATCAAACGCGTGCTGTCCAGGAGTTTATAACATATTTTAGGTGTTATACATTACCTGTAGTAAGTAATAGTTATTTTTATTACATCAATTTTTGGCTGAATTTTAAGTGAACCTGTTATATACCCTGTCTTCAAATAAATCTCATCTATTTAATTCAGAATTTCCTTTTAATCTTTTATACATCATTTTGATAATGTTTTACTTTAAAATTAAAATCAGCCTGTTTTTTTTTAAGAGTGGACTTTTCAATCATATAAATTCCGAATTGGCAATCAAACTGATTTTTCATGTATGGGCTATGGTTATTAGTTATTTAAATTTAATTGTATATTTTCCAAAAAAATTTTTCATTGTATGTGTAATCAGGGGGAGATGGTCCAGGTGCCAGTCAAGAAAGTACCCTACAATAGTAAACTCTTCCTGTACTCCTCTAATTTATGTCTTTTCCCCAATTTCTTATGAAGACATGCAAAGTCGATCGAAATGTCATTCATTTTAATATATGAAATTGCTTTGTGGATCATCTCATTCCTTTTATCTATATGTTTAACCAATAAATATTTAATATAGAATGTGTAATCTGTTAGTATTAAATAGTGTTTCTAAAACTGAACTTATACTACTAATGCTTAAGGTTATAGAATAGAAAATAACTTTATTCTGGGACGAAGTCCCTTAAGAATAATAGAATATTATTCTGATATATATATATATATATATATATATATATATATATATATATATATATAATATGTTGTGGTACAAATTTTAAATCAAGCATATATTAAATAAAATATATGTGAATCGTGAATTCTTTACCCACCATCAGCCTGAAGTGATTTTGTTACTGCCTGGTTGTGTCTGATTTTCTTATCCACCCATTCTAATACATTCTTTTCATAATTATCTCAGATTAAATATATATTATTCCAGTCCTGAAAATTTGGAAGTACTGATCATTGTGAAATATTTGACAGTAAAAGGTAATATAAATGTTAGCTCCTTTATCAATCTGAGATAGCACAATAATAACAGTCACTTATAGCAACTGTCCTAAGATATAATATATTTCAAAAGATTTTAATTAAAATTTCTAATTTAACTTGTTCTTTATTTTAGGAAAATGCCGCTCAGCTGTAGGTTTTATAAAGAGAAGTACCCAGAGGTTGAAGATGTGGTTATGGTAAATGTTCGTAGCATTGCTGAAATGGGTGCCTATGTTCATTTATTGGAGTATAATAATATTGAAGGAATGATATTGTTGTCTGAATTATCCAGGCGACGTATACGATCAATTAACAAACTCATTAGGGTTGGCAAAACCGAACCTGTAGTTGTCATTAGGGTCGATAAAGAAAAAGGTAAATAGTCAGTTGACAATGTATTGACATGTTTTCATTAATTTATTGGTATTGCTATGTTATAAATAGCATATATATATATATATATGTTAGTTATAAAATACGGATATAATTTGCTTTAGTGATGTTATTTTCTTTATTTAAATCAAATCGTTTACAGTCAAAGCTCAGGTAAAAATTATTCCTTTTTGAACCATAAATATAACTGGGTACCTGCTTGAATATTTTAATTTTTATTCATCGTGAAGGTTAGATTTGATCAAAAAAAATACAAAAGTCTCAAATATTTCTGATTCATATTTGCATAGATAATTAAGTTAAGGTAAAGTGTTGTGGATAGAGCTGCATCACTAGAGTAGAGACAAGGCAACGTCATGTGTTGTCTGTGACTAATTCATACCTTTGAGTATCTTATACTTTTTAACTTCAAAACTTCCATTCAAGAAATATGTTTCAGTTTTTTTATTATTTAAAAAGTGTAATTGCAATCTTATGTATATTCTTTATCACTTGAATTCTATTACAGCTCAAATTTGCATACTTTTTTCTGTTTTAATAAAATTATAACAAGTCAGTGATGTTATTTTCTTAATTGATTTAAAAACTATTTTTAGGTTACATCGACTTGAGTAAACGACGTGTTTCACCAGAAGATGTTGAAAAGTGTACTGAAAGGTTTGCTAAAGCAAAAGCAGTTAACTCAATCTTGAGACATGTTGCAGAACTTCTGCATTATGAAACTGACGAACAACTGGAAGATTTATATCAAAGAACAGCTTGGTTTTTTGAAGAAAGGAATAAAAAGAAGGCATCTGCCTATGATTTCTTTAAACAAGCAGTTATGTGAGTATTTTTAAAAATGAATTGTATATTTATTGTTTTAGTGTTTTTATTCTTATTATAACTATTTTCTAATTGTGGAATGTTAGTAAAATTGTTAAGATTAAAACCTTCATCTTGGTAGAAACTAAGATCATACAAAGTCTTATAATTGGATTTTTATAATACAAGAATCATAAGTTGCTTATGCAATTTTATTAGTTTGTATACACCACACTTTTAAGAGTCTATTGATTATGTATTTTATAATATAAAGTAGGTGTATATCATATTTTTGTTTTATGTGTCCGTATATTCTGTTCAACATTTTTATTTTACATTTAGTGATAACTCTATTCTTGCGGAATGTGGGTTAGATGAAAAAACCCAGGAAGTTTTATTAACAAACATTAAAAGAAAATTAACTTCCCAGGCTGTGAAAATACGCTCTGATATTGAAGTAGCGTGTTATGGCTATGAAGGTATTGATGCTGTGAAAACTGCACTTAAAGCTGGATTGGCTTTATCTACCGAGGAATTACCTATTAAAATTAATCTCATTGCACCTCCTTTATATGGTATGTGTGTTTAATATTATTGTATTACCGAACTAAATATAAGGAGAAAATAAAAACTAACTAACATTTAATCACGATTGCTTTAATTAGGCACATTCCTTATGCTGCATCCCATAGGTTCAGTTTTGAGGGTTCAAATTAGATTGCAACTAAGTAATATTATACATTAAAGCATAATAAAATTTATTATTGTTATAAAAATAAAAAAAACTTACATTGGACAGTTGAAGAGCATTCATGTGATATTAACGATATCTAATCAATGAGGTAAGAAAGATAAAGTGAACATGAAGATATATGGGTCAATTGAAGTTGCAGAAGTAACAAAAGTTGGCAGGTTAAATGAAAGTGTTCTCGATAATTTTTTCATAAGATTCTAGAAATTGTAATGCTAGTATAATAAAACATATGCTCCTGTAAGATGAGTGCCAGTGTTGGAATATTAACCAACTATATTGTAACAGAAACTAGGTGTGCAATTGCTGCTATGTGAATTAGTTCAGGAGTCTCATTTTTTCATGTAAGCATTAATACCATGCCTGAAGATTCACCCCTCTGTGAAATCTTTATAAGGCTTGCTTCCAAAATTTCCATTCTATAGCTACATCTATACACAAATTAGATTGATAATTGACAATTTTTTAATGTAAAAACTGTAACTGTGCCATGATGTTAACTTTTTATTTGAGTAACTCATTGTGATGAACTCCATACTAGAACTAATTAAGGTGAAACAGGATATTGTTAAAAATTTCCTCCAAAGAGGTAATAATAATTTAACAGAGAATTAAGAATTTATATAACAAATTTAAAAGGAGGAAATTTATTTTTTTAAATATTAAATAATTGTGTAATATAAAAATATTGGTTTAGCAATAGTTTCAGTGTCTTCTTAAAGACTCTTCACTAATAAAGATCATTCTCTAAACAAATGTTTCCAAGTCTGGTAAATTATATTGTACATGCTTAAAACTAACTTAAGACAGGAAATAATTACTCAGTAGAGATAATGTAGAATATTCTTAACAATTATACATTTCTATTCATATGGCATTACTGTTAGTGCAAAAGGTTGTATCTAAAAATTGATTTTTTTTGTTTTGTTTTTTAACAGAAAAGCCTAAAAACTCGTTACATCTTTATGATCTATTAATATAATTTCATATTTTAATTACCTCTGCTATTTTTCTATTTAGCAGACTACTTATACTTTTGCACTGACAGTAGTGATATATTTTTCAAATTCTATTATTCAAATTATGTGAAGAATTAGAATTAGTGTCATTTTTATAAAATTAACTGTTTTGATTTATTAGTGATGACTACAGCAACTCCTGAAAAATCCGAAGGATTGAAGGCGCTTCAAAATGCTATTGATGTTATTGAGAAAGAAATCACTACTTTAGGAGGAGTTTTTCAAGTTCAAATGGCGGTAAGAATTTTTATTTTTATTAAATTGTATTGTTTATAATGTAATCTGTCTTTATATACCATATAATAGTTTTTCGCTGTGTAAATCCCTTTTTCAGCTCTCTGGAGCCATCAAGATGGGTTTTGATGAATTAAGTATCAAATGAAAGGGAATTTCATGGAGAAGTGACGAATTATAGTCACATCCTCCAGAAATTTCAGGGGAAAAAATCTATAAAGGAAAAGGAATTTTATTTGCAAATTACTCTGAAAGTATACATTTATTTGTGATTGTACCGATGATTATTTGAAAGATTTTATACAAAACAAAAAAAATCAAATTCTGATAATTATTAGCCAAGATACTGCGTATAGTAATGTATACATGTTTTTGTTTATTGTAAATGAACCAATGTAATTCAACTGAGAAAAAAAAAAATATTTTCTCAATATCTTAATACATTTCTCTAACTTATCCATGTATTATATTGTCTGGTGTTCTCTGGCCAATATGCAAGGCGAATTATTGCAGGCCAACTAATTAAATCTTAAAAAGTAATTATCACATGTTTTTATTTAATGACTAATCAAGAAACTCAATAACACCTAAAATTTATATTAAAAACCACAAGCAATTAAAATAAATAGATGACCGGTAGGTTAATAAGTTTGATTGTTATATTATTTTTTTTACTTTCACTTACCTGTTTATAAAATATATTGTAAAGGAAAGTATTGCGATCATGGAAATTTTTGAATCTCAGTTTTCAATGGAAATACATGTTTTGAGGTTCCCTTAGTCTATATTACCAAGTCCCGCAAAATCTCTGTGTGTTAACAGTCTTGCTGTAAAACGAAAAGTCGTACGAAAGTGAAATTGCATATTTAAGGTTTTTATATGCTAGGGATGTTACAGTAACTTTTTTGTCAAATTTGACAAATCTGACCGGAAGTGGCACTTCATATCATGGGCTAAACACATTTTTACAATTTTCTCGTAAACGGCTCGAACGATTTTGATTAAATTCATTATACCAGTGTAAAATTAAGCAGTTTTAAATAAAATGTAGTTTTTATTCTGATTTATGTTCTCTAACAGGCCTTAAAATATTTAAATATAAAATATGAAAGAATTTGATAATTAACTAAATGAGAAATAAAGAATCGTAACGGAGAATAGTTGTAATTGATCGCACTCGAGCTCGGCTGAAAGATTATAACAGGCTTCCATACGTATCATGAGCTTAATGTAATATCAATTCCGATAATATTATATAAATATAAATATGCGGTTTTCATAAATGCCATTGTTGGTATTATTTAATATGTAATTGTATATATTACACTGATATAAATATTAAAATTTGTATATATAAGGGTACTTAAACAAATAAAAATACCCACAATGAAATATAAATAATTATAGTGTCTATAATTTTTACTTTCACTTTCCCTTTGTCTGAAAATAATTATTTCTGCTAAGAAGAAGGTGATAAGTGAAAGTTGTATAACATGCGCACCGTGCCAGATTTTTACATTCATATGTTTTGAGCTATGCAAAGAAAACTTACAACACCTTAATTGTAAATATTATTTTTAGTTCTTTCTCCCTCTTGTATGTATATACTCTGGTTTTCTCCAGTGTATATGCATACAAGTTGATCCCAATATGCTTAAAAGTATAAGTCTTTTTCTGATGAAAAACTTTCTTCTGAAGAAATTGTATTTTTAGTTGTCTTGAAAAACGTACAAATCAAAAACAGTATACTAGTGTTCTCAGAAGAAGCAAATATTTGTTGTTAGAAGTAACCGTATGTGAGGTTACACTTTAACATCATTTAAATATTTGAACAAGGTCTAACATTGGATTAGTTAGCTGTATTAACTTAACACAGTGTTAAGACTAATGTACATTGGTGCAACAAAAATTCTGTAAACCGTTGTTTAACTGATCAAATTAAAGTTAACAATGGTTGGTGCAACCGGCCCTTAGTTTTATATTTACGTTATCCCAAAGGATACTTTTAGTATGTTTACTATGGGACTAATAAGGAGGTAAAATTACTAAAAGTCACCACTCCTAGGTGGTGAGCCAGATGTGGGGAGATGGCGTCTATGGGTCACTTTTTTGGGGGATTTTCGCTTACATCAGAAAAACTATCTATTGCATCGACAAAGACATTCTATACAAAGTTAAAGCTGATAAAATTTGCAATATGATTGATTATTACCTTATATTATTATTGTTTATTACCTTATTTCGCTAACTCGCTTAGTTTGCAAGATATTCTTCCCCAATTATGACTATGGTGAAGAAAAAAAAAATTAGTCATGTTTGTTGCTGTTTTTTAGGTTTTCTCTAATATCGGGAAAACTTTCCATTATAACAGAATAACCGATCATGGCTATTGGAATTTCTTATATGAATCTTTTTCATATGACATAATTGATTTTCTGAATAATTTATTTCAGTTCAAATTTATGACTTATGTGTACTCTGTGTTTATTTGTTTTAGCCAAAAGTGGTTACTGCTACCGATGAAGCAGAATTGGCCAGGCAAATGGAAAGAGCTGAAGCAGAAAATGCTGAAGTTGCTGGTGATGATGACGAAGAGGAACAGGAAGAGCAAGATGATGCAGCTGACGTTGATGGTGCAAGTCCTGATGAAGATGGGGAAGATTAAAAACAATCTATTTATTTTAATTACTGTGCTAAAATACATTTTTCTGTATATACATATATACTTTATAAACTTCCCCACTATATACAAGGTATGACAGTAAAGGTTGTGAATAGTATCGTTTAAATTCTTTATTGAGAAAAATAAACATTAGGAAATATTCCTTTCTAAATTTTTATGTTTGCATTTTTTATTTTTATTTTTATTTGTTAATGCTTTAAAACAATTTTTAGTTTTAAAAGTCTACTTTTTGTTCAGTTTCTGTCTAAATCCTTTCTACGGTGCCAAACTTTTCAACTTTTCTTCAGTTAATGAGGAATATTGAGCTGACTGTTCTTGCTTGAAATTAGATCTTAACTTTTGAGATATTTTTTATAATTGTGTCACATCACTGAGGTTGTATTGAGCATTGACAGACTCATGAATTTTTCATTTTATACTGTTAGTATTATGTAAAGACCTATTCCATCTCTAATCTCAATGGAAACCTAATTTTTATTCCAGAGACAAACTTTCCTATTGATATTTGTCCTAGGAATGAAAAACAGATTATAATGTGCCAATTATTCAGTTAGAATAAGATGAATAATCTTTCTCGTTATGTCAAAGAAAGAGTGCATTTATTTTAGAGCGTTAGTCTCATTTGATCGTGTATTGAACTTTTCCAAGAGTTGTCATCGCAACTCAGGTAATAGACAAACGACTTAAGAAAGGACCTTTTGGGTGAAGCATAGTTCAGGAAGTTACATTAAAGATAGGGAAAGTGTTCTCCCTCTACATAACAACATAAGCGGCATTGTCAAAATTTTTTTTTTCATGTGATTGTTATTATTTGAAGCGATTGTACTATTTTGATGTTTATTATTTCAATCAATTGAAAAAAAATAGCTTTAATTTTTTTTTATATTGTCAATTGTTATCATCGTAAGCAAATATTTATTTATCCTAATAATTAAAAGGTACCTTACGGAAGGCCAAAAGCCAAATGGATAGATAAAATCAACCAAGTTGGTTAACAATAGCCCTAGATAAGCCAAGGTTGATAAAACCAGTTCAGGCTGCTGAAGATCAACATGATCTGTAAAGCCAACAGAAAAAAAAAAAGTCTACAATATATATATTGGTTCATCAGTTGTCTTCTGTGGTACTTCCTTCACTTCCAATAACAAATAATACCGAACCTTATCTGGCTAAATATAATAATACTAACATTAAACATTTAACCCATGAGATGAAAGTTGTAGTTTACATAAAGGAGGTAATGATTTTAGCTCTCAAACTATCGCACCGCTAGGTTCTTATGTAAGTTGTTTTTTTATACTTGTGTAATTTCCTAATTATTGAATGTCTTATGTGGAAGTTTTATCCTCCTTAAACCAATTCATATAGCAAATAAAACAAATTTTAGTTTATTTTTAATTTTAATTAAATTTAAAACAAAATTTAGTTTTCTTTGATGTACAAGGAATTTTACAATTATCAGCATCATTTTGATCCTTCCGCAATTTTTTGTTCATACCTCTGAATCAATTGATTTTGCTAGTTGGGGAAGAAGTAAAAAAACATTTTACAAACTTTATTGTCAGACCTTGTAGCGTTTCAAAATGTGCATATATTGCTACTTATTAATAAAATCATTGTTTGAAGGGTGCTCTTCAGTAGAATGTTAATAATAGTTGTATATACTTTTTGTATTATGAATTAGAAGATTTAATTGAAAACTTATTCAATAAATTCTCTATCTTTTTTATACTCAAATAATTTAGCAACAATTAATCAAAAAATTTTAATTGAATTTTTTTAATATTTAATAGTGTAATAACATAAAGGAATGCTACAGAAATTTTGTTGCTACGAAACATTAAAAAATATTAGTAAAATAAGGTCTTGACTATTTATTAAATGGCTTTCTCATAAAGAGATGAAAGAGTTTACAAGTTGGGGGAGGGGGATTATATATATATATATTTGTATATTGACTGTTTTTGTCCCAAGATACAGATATAAATAATATACTATGGTTAAAGAAAACATTAATTGCCACAAACAGATATTATTTCTCCTCACTTAAGCTCATAGTTCATTTTAAATTATAATTTTTCTCACATTTGTGATTTTTAACCTGATATAACAAACTTAAATGTTTTATTTGACTGTGATGATATTGCTAATAATAATTTATTGGAGATTATTAAAGTGGAAATATAATAAAAAATCACCAGAATAAACAGATTATTTTCTTTTTTAATACATCAGCTAATGTTGCATTCTTATGATACAGTTATATACTTTAGCAGTTCTAGCCTATACAGTTGGACCAAAACAAATACTTGTATAGTAAACAAAAAAATTGGTCAGCTCACTTGAGAAATACAGGTACTTGTCCATTAGCCCAGCAGGATGGACTGCTATCTGCCAATGTTTATAACCTGAACACTGATAAGCCTTCTCCTAATTCCTATTCATATTTAATCTATTATTGAAATTGTAACAAAAACAAATATAATAATAAAAAAATACTTTTATTTTACTACATATATATTACATTAATATATGTATATGTAGGAAATGTGACAGCATCTCCATTTCGTATCCTTGTCTAACATCATTTGATGACCTTTCTCACACAATTTCATGTTTGCAATTATCCCAACATTTTGAAAATATTCAATAGCCTGTTCTTCTGAAGACAGTAATTCCCAGAATGTAACAAGATTTATAATTTGACAAAAAATAACACAAACGGGCCAAGAATAAAGAATTTAAGAAGTGAATAACTTAATGTAATAACTAAAAGGTTTGGCGAGATAAGAAGAGGGAGATATATGTGACCTAATGTTAGATAACAAGAGAGGTTTCGTCCCTCCTGCTAATGGACAAGTACCGAAATATACATGGCTCAGACATACAATATATGGAGGGTGGGCCCCAGGGTGCCCGATTCTGAACCCAGATTCCCACCTAGATATGTGAATATTTATTTCTTAAAAGCTCCAGGAAATTAATCTTTAAACTTCCACTCTAGTAAGTATGCTGGTAACCTTCAGGCAGCTGTCACAAAGCCAAAAGGACTACTTGCCCGACTGGTTCTCTCCACCAATACTCAATAATAAGAAAGTTTCTTCCTTATTTTTTTTTCAAAGGTTTTGATATAATGATTCTAAAACACGTTATATTTTTGCTGTGTATTTATAATTGGCAGATATAGGAACCTATTAAATTTCTTCTGCCATTTAGTGAATGGTATTGTCAAGTTTCAATGATCATTCTTGGGTAACCTCTGACTATAGTGCCATACATTAAAAAAAAAAAAAGGAGGTCCTATTTTCTGAGAATAGCCACAGATTTTTTTTCTTGGCCAATTAAAAAGCTTCATTATTAAAAATTATTACTTAGTTATTTTTATTTCATTCTTATCTGACTGATTTCCAATGAATTATTATTTGAAAACATGTTACTATTGATTACTATCCAGTTCCAAGTAACAGTATCCTTAGAAACTGTTCCAACTGATCTGATTCTGACCACTCATAGTAACCATATTATTTTTATTAAATAATGATGTTTTTATAAATGTATTATTTTAATTTGTTTTTCTTATTTTGTTTTTATACATTGGTTGGCAATAAATTCTTTAGTTTGATTTTTTTTTTTACCTTTAATCCTTGTGTACCTAAATTGAATTAAATAGGTTAGATAATAAGTATTTGATAACTGAAGGAGATTATTTCTTATACAGGAACACCAAAACAAAGAAATCAAATGTGAAAATATGGAAACTATCTGAACTGGAACAGTTGGAATATGTTTCTCTTTTTGGTCAGAATGTAACATTACTATTTTTCTCTTAGTTAAAAAATATACTTATAGATCACTTCACTATCTACTATATGAACTACTTAAATGAATTCTCAAGTATATCATCCATATCAATGTAACACATGTTAATATGTAAAACAAACACACACATATATATATATGTGTACTACATAGAGAGAGAGAGTGATGCAGTAAACTTCAAATTATTTTTAGAAAGACACATATGTATATAATATTTTTTTGATTTGGTTATGTTGAACTGGGGTGGGTCCAGATAATGGAGTTGACTCAAATGGAATATAAGTAGTACCCCTGAGCAAATGTATTGGTTGCAACATTTGAATCGTAAGTGGTTTGCTTTGTAATATTTTTTTTTTAATAATAATTTATTCTAAAACAGTTAATATGGTTACTGATCCTAAATTTAACTTTACTAAAACATTCAATATTTGGATCCATAGCCTTATATTGCTGTGGTGAACGAAAAATTTTGAATTTCTTAAATATAATAATATCCTGTAAGGAATAAATAAATGGAGATTGGCAGGTTCACTTGGGATATTTACCTGAAATTTAGTGATCATAACATTTACAGATGCCATATTTTTATTATTGTCTGGATAAATGTCTATTGTAACTAAATATTTATACTATTAATAAAACAAAGTACATTAAAACATAACATACATTAAAATATTTTCATCCAGAAAAATATAATAATTTGCTTTAAATTTTTCTTGCAATTAAGTAAATAAACTTTCAATTGCTTAATCATCTTATTCCTCTGATTTAAAGAAAAACTCAAAATTTAACAAAAAAAAAAATTAACATGTGTAAGTACCATCTGTTAATACCAGCTGGTTATTGAACAGACTTATATTGTTGGTTACAAGCATAAGTAATAACAGAATTTAATTAATTCTATCAGGTTTGCTTTTATTTATATTTCTCTTGTTAATATATTTTAGATTTACCCACCGCCCTCTCCTCTTGCTGGGGAAAACCCTGTGTATTGTCTATAAGGTGAAGCAGGGTTGGAAAAAAAAAAACACTATATTTTAAATATATTTGAATATACACACAGGGTGTGTCAGTTCTTAATGGCCAATCTGGGGTGATTCTAGACAAAATTTTCAACAAAAAAGTTCATTATGCATGGGCCAATAACGAATAGAAGAGGAGTT